ATTTTTAATTGATATTAAAATATTAAAATTTGTTGTCGTGAAAACTCTAGTTTCCTCGGTCTTTATCTTTCACAATAATTTTGTACAGAATAATTTTACAGTGTGTTATGCAAAATTTATAAAATTTTAACTTATAAAACTTCATAAACAATAGACGAAAGACGACTGTATGATGACTATATTAAAGTTAGATATAAATTTTAAATTAATCTGATGATGTAAATTAGAAAATAATTATTATATGATTTAATTATTATATATTATATAATTAATATAATTTAATTATTAATTAAAATATGATAGAAATTAGAAAATAAATTTTTAGAAGCATGTGTAAATATAAAAATCATGAATAATAATTTTCAGCGTGTAATGTAAATATTAAAAAGTGATCCTATTGAATGTTAATATTTATTGTATAATTAATATAATATAATAATGGTATGACGTAACTTCATTCATATTACATATTTTGTAACTTTTATATATATATTGTTTAAATTTGTTAAACTTGATCGATATAATTATGATACATTGGATCCTACAGTATCAATGAAATGACGTAATATTTTATACAATATGTATATTACGTTCAAAAAAAAGCCTAAAAAAAAGTCCAAGAAAACCTGCTGACGTACAAATATTTTCGCGAACAATCGGATATCAACAATACCATTTGAGGGGCCGGTACTCATCCGGTATAGCGTTTCTCAGATCCAATGGAAATGCAAAGTGACGGCCGGTGGTCTGCGGTGGTACTCGTAAAGTAACTTTTAGATTGGCCGCGATAAAATCCCGTGACTCACACTCCAACTATTTTTCCCTGGCCGTTGTAACGTTTTCGAGAGGAGTCCACGGACCGACCCCGATTCGCCTAACGCACACCTACCGGGCGCGAATCTCGAGAAACGAATGAGAAAAAGGAAAAATAAATCGATCTGCGGCCGTGAGGGGAGAAAAAACGAGCGTCGCCGACAACGTGGATACGAGCTGGCGAATGGAAAGGAAAAAGTGTCAGAGGGACAGCGATATCATCGATTTTATGTAACCTACGCTAGTGAAACGTGAAATTTGGACGTTCACCTCTCTCCTCGTGTAATATATGGCTCGCTATCGGAGAGCCGATAGTGCGTCTTTTTTTTTTTTTGTTTTTTTTTTTGGTTTTCTTTTCTTTTTACTTCGTATCGATGAAACGTCAAATCGTGTACGACACGTTCAGCAGCGGGCGACGAGGAAACGTTGATGGAAAACAGGGATCTGAGGTAATTGAACGAAGTACGAAATTAGTTTAAATGAAAATCGATCGTTTTGCAGTCTAATCACTTGGTGAGTAATATCCTTCGATGAGCGTTTATTTCTTTGAAATGTCGAATTTAATAGTGAAACTTTCACGATACACTTTACTTCGTTCATTGAAGATATTAGATTGGTACGTATTATATGCAAAGTTGATACTATACATAATACGGAGAACATAGATTAGTTACGTTTATTGAATGCTAAGAGGAAAGAGTAAAGCTCTGACTAATGAACTTCTCAGACATGTTAGAATTTGGAAAAAAATAACACGTTGCCAATAGAAGGATAATCCACTTCGTTCACAAAAAATTAATGTTACACGAATTGTCTCTAAACAAAGAAAACTATTAATATTAATATTAATGTTACACGAATTATTTCTAAATAAAGAAAATTATTAATATTAATATTAATGTTACACGAATTATTTCTAAATAAAGAAAACTATTAATATTAATATTAATGTTGCACGAATTATTTCTAAATAAAGAAAACTATTAATATTAATATTAATGTTACACGAATTATTTCTAAATAATGAAAACTATTAATATTAATATTAATGTTACACAAATTATTTCTAAATAATGAAAACTATTAATATTAATGTTGCACGAATTATTTCTAAACAAAGAAAACTATTAATATTAATATTAATGTTGCACGAATTATTTATAAATAAAGAAAACTATTAATATTAATATTAATGTTACACAAATTATTTCTAAATAAAGAAAACTATTAATATTAATATTACACGAATTATTTCTAAATATTATTAATATTAATATTAATGTTACACGAATTATTTCTAAACAAAGAAAACTATTAATATTAATATTAATATTAATGTTGCACGAATTATTTCTAAATAATGAAAACTATTAATATTAACATTAATGTTACACGAATTATTTCTAAATAAGGAAAACTATTAATATTACACGAATTATTTCTAAATGAAGAAAACTATTAATATTAATATTAATGTTACACGAATTATTTCTAAATAAAAGAAACTGTAGCAAACGAACCGTAACAGTTTAACTTGGAATCACGCGCGGATGGAAATGGAACGAATGGAACCGATTATAGAAAGGATCTAGACGAATCGATATTATCGAGCAACTCCTTCCAATGATTCCGTTCCGATTCTAGAAATTCTAGATGATTATTCCCTCTTTCTCAGTTGGCCCACAAGGATCGCTTCGTTATTCTTGTTTTGTTCGCCGCCCCTTTGCTCCACTGTCTGACCTTCAACCCTTTTCCCCGACCACGAGAAGAGAGTCGTCAGCGGAAAACGAACGAGCAAATTGCCACTGATCGAATTTCCTGTCGCAATGTATCGTCAATCGGTACATCTGTTTTTTATCCTTTATCCTACTTTCGCAGCAGCGAGAAATAAAACACATTTCCGTCTTTAGGAAAAAATTAGGAAAATCTGAAAATTATATAAGTTATATAAGTTATATAATGTGTGGTATAATTGGAAAGTGAGCGGAATGTTTGAAGATTCGATTCTACCATAAGCTAGCTGCTTGTTCAATTAGTGGAGATTGGATTTTGTCGGGTCGTGACCTCAAAATTCGCCAACTCACAACGCGACGTAGCTTCTTCAAAGATTAGAATTATAAAGATATACGTAATTGGCAACGCGACACGCACCATCGTCTCACGCAACACGCTGACACGCAAACTTAATTAACGCGAGTGTTCACTTATTTGTTTTTGCCTCTAAGAAATTACTGTCTTTTTTCAAATGGAGTTTCATTAAACAAGCCGTAATATCGTTTTAATCACCTAGCGATCGTCGTGATTTATTTCATGTCATTAACCTTTGCCAAATGAGCTGGAAAAAATGGTACGCTTTCCTTCAGGTCAGAGTTTGAAATAGAAGATGATTAATTGTGAACTAATTTGTTTTTTTTTCTTCAGGGAATTCGTTTGAAATGGAGAATGATTGATTATTCAAACATCTAAGAACGAATCAATCTTTCCTTTACCTTTAAAATTTCACTAATAAGTTTTGAAAGCCTTTCAGGATCTGTGTATTTTAATTAAAATTTTTATAAAGTAATTATTCAAAATTATTTTACAGGACATTTAAGGAATTATAGAACATTTAAGCAATTATTCAGAACAAAACCTGAACTGATTAATTCTTTTCGAACTTTCTTGTTAAATGTTACAATATTCTTATGCCAGTAGCTCGTCGAAAATATTTTATTCCAATTCGTCGTCATTAAAAATATCTATACGAAATTTTTCTCCCATTATAACACATATGTTCAATACTTTTCCCCGAAATGAAATGATACTTTTGTTTATCAATTAGCAAATGTGAAAAAGAATGGCCGTAAAGGTGCAACAGTCCCGTTGAATGTATCACCGAATTGGCAACCATCCAAATTTCGTCCGAAAAAAGAGGCTCTCGTCTCTCGGAGACAGGCCAGCAATTAAAACGCTTATTAATAACCGCAGGATTGTACGGGAAAAAATTCGAACTGCGGTTTGCGTCGATTTAATTGGAAATGAAAGATGGTCGTGGAAAATCGACAGGTTCGAGCCGATTAATCCGCGTGGAGATCAGATCGATAGCTACGCCCGGGACACGTGCCCTGTCACTTGGAGTTGACACAGATTTCCACGAGTTGCTTCGGTGTCTAGGATACGCCGTATTCTTTGATCTGTTTCTGACAGCTTTATTTCGTTCGTATTACGCGTCAACTTTTGCTGCCGTGTTCCCCCGATCGTTCGTATAGCAGATGAAGATTCTGTCCGTATCGAATCAGAATTAATTCCGCGAATGATCCGTTTTCACGACTGTCGATGCCTGGTCGTCGCAGACAGTATAGAAATTTGTATAGAAATTTGTATAGAAATTATAATCGTCGCGCGTGTGGCTACGTTAGTCCTTCGCATCTATTGTTAGAATATGTGGAAATGTCTGTGCAGTCGAATGTTTGAGCGTTTAAACGTTTCAAGCCGCTCAAGTGTTTGTTGAAACGTTTAAAGAGTCGATTCGAATTGTTAAGAGATGTTAAAAAGAAATTCTTTTAGGAAATGATCAAATGTTTCAATTTCAATTGACGTTGTAGAATTAAACTTCAAATAGTGTCTAGTAATTTTTTGGATACTGAATTTTATGTTCTCTCTGACGAAGATTGAGCTAAAAATTCCAAAATTAAACGATACAAAAATTGTTCTGTAATATTACTTAAACTGTTCCAGTATCCAATATTCGTAATTTTATCAGTGAAGGGTTAATAGCCTCTTAGTAGAAGATTATTGAAACACCAAAGTAAGATCAAGAATTACAAAAAAAGAAAAAAAAAAAGATCAAATGAAGACGAAGAAGACAGCAATCATTGTCAGTCTAATCAGCCTCTCTTTACTCCATTAGATACATACTAATTTCTTCGTTCTTCGTTCCGTCACCGACCCCGTTAAAATAACGAATCCCCTTCGCATGAATCATTCATTTCTCGAATATCTATCAGTGGGCATATCTTCCCACTGCGTGATATTCTCTTTAAACACGGCATAAATTGCCAGAAAAGGGACGCTCTATGTAAACATCACGTCCCATTCAACCGTACCAAAAAATTTCCCCGGGATATTTCGCCGCCCACGCACGACGCAGAAAATTTCCCAGCGTTCTCGCGATATCTAGACAGAGGCACGATTAAAGTAGAACTCACCGCTGTCCGCGTAGGTCTCTGAACCGTATCCATCCTGAAGTCCGCTCGCCCACGTGCCCTCGTACCTCGCGGTGGACGTGGTCGATTGTCTGACACCGTATCGGCCCTTGAATCCTTGACTCCATTCGCCCCGGTAAATCCATCGTCCACGAGTCTCCATGCCCAGGCCATGCCGTTTCCCGTTCTGCCACTGGCCTTCGTAAACCGATCCGCTGAAATTCGATACACGTTGATGGGTGATAATGCAACGTGCAGGATGTTTTCAGGAAATGCACTCGCTCTTTTTCGCTCCCCCACCCCTGGCCAGCCTCGATGCTAGTAGCCAGGGTAATTGGAGGAACTTACCTGGACTTGTTGCGCTCGCCAGCAACTTTGCTAATCAGGTTTCTGTCTAACAGTTTCCTGCTGCTTTGGATTTCAACCTCTTGCGCTGGAACGACGTGCCATTTCGTCTCAAAATTGCAATATTTCCTCGGCTTTAGTGTAGAGTATAAAACCCGGGCAAAACAAATAATAAATTTATTACTTCTTAGTAATTTCTATCCGACAAGTTCAAAAAGAAAGCGACGGATCATTGTATACGGTTTGGTCGCTCGTTATGGTCCGCAATCAGTTGCCAGCGCAAGTGGTTAAAGGGAAGTTTCTTCAATCTCGCGAGATCGATGGTTTGCCAGAGGGCGGCTTTCTAAATTAATCTCTGAAAACTAGCCGTGGAAAACGTGAATTTCCCAAGCTACTGACGAGATACTTCGTTTATAATTATTGAAAGGATTTCTAATTTTTTTTTTTTCATAGACTTAGAATTGGTGCATTTTTGACGACTTGAGAAGTTTCGTGAATTTAATAGTTCGTATTTCACCATACTCTATGCAGAAAAATTTTACAAATTTGTATTTTTACTTTTCAGAGATTTCGAAACCTTCGTAGAAATTTTATGTATTTGAAACGATATACATTTCAAAGAGAAATTTTACTTCGAAATTGATTTAAAAATCTTCACACGTAAAAATTGTACAAATCCTCGATTACACGTTTCTATGAATTCAAATGACATTTTATGAAATGAAAGTAGATATGTACAAACAAAAATTTATTTTCCATTCTATCTCCATCTTTATTTCCTCTTTTTAAATCTAATCTAATCTGAAGAAGCGACAGGGATTAGACGAAATAAATCAGACTTTGCTCGTAGCGGCCGATACGAAAGGAACTCGTTATCGAAATGCTTTTTCGTCTTTTCAACAGTTTCCCTCGTGTGCTTCGAATACCTGTGCGCTTTTCAACTCTGTTCCGCGACGGCTGCTCCCTTCTCGCACGAGTAAATCCTCGTCGGCACCCGAAGGGAAAAAGAAACAGATCCCTACGATCTGAGGGAGCAATTTTCTTTTTCGCATTTCGTTCGAGGGGAATTTTTCTTTTCCTCGATATTGCGCCACGCGAAGGCAAAAAGGAACAAATTCTTTGTCGATTCTGTTTGCAAACACGCACGAACTGATGACACGCTGCGACAAACATGCTTTTGTGGAAAAAATACACGCCTCTCTGATAAACATCTATATCATGTAAAAAAAAAGCTTCTTATATATATATAAAAAAAGAAAACGAAATTCACCACTGTGTATAATTAAGTTTAATTTTCTTCGTCCGCGATATTTTGTTCGTCACTCGCACAATTTGTATTTTTTTTAAATGAAACAAATTGCATCGCGACTTCAATTCAGATTCTACTTTTGTTTCGTTGTTTCGCTCTCCAAATATTAAGCGTGCAAATTGGTTAGGTATCTAGAGATCTGCTCGATTCTAATTGTTATTATTTCAAGCTGAAATATCGGGCTGTTTCATTGCAATTTTAAGCAGAAACATTATTTGCGTTCACGTAATTTTGCTTGTATATTTATCGGACGAAGTAATGTTATTTACGAAGTATAAATAACATTTTAACTGTTTAACTGAATTAATTTATGCACACGATATTACAGTATAATTTTACTTTGGGTATTTTGTATCTACGATGAGTATATAAATTATGTATATTTTAATACTTTGATGCATGAAAAATGTGTCTTGAAATCCTATTACATAAAATATACAATAAAGAGCATAACCGAACCAATAACGATGAAAAATCGTTGACAAATTAAACTGTTATAACTTCGTAGAAGAAAAAATCATGTAACAATCCACTTAGTCTTACTTAAAAGCTTAAGACTTCTACTTTCATAGTCCTGAGTTTGTTCTTTTTTCAAAAATGATTTTACATCGTGTTGGCGGGTTAAAAAGTAAAGATACCTTTTTGTTTCTAAATATTTCTGAAAAATTTAAATTTGTAAACTTTTAAATTTCTAAACTTAAATATTTCTGAAAACATTGAAACAATTTCTTTCGTGATTAGATCCACTCTGTGATTTCATCATTTTGAAAAATGAAGTCTCTCTCTCCTTTAGAATCTATTGTACAATTTTCTTTTTCATTTTATTGAACTTCGAACATTAGGATTGACGGAAATGTTAGGATTTCTGAAATTTTGATCATAATATTCAAAGTTCAATAAAATCCAAGAAAAGAAAATTATATAGCAAGTTCTAAGGGCTCGTTGTAAAGAGGAGACTTCATTCTTCAAAATAATGATGGATCTAGTCACGAAAAAAATTGTTTCAATGTCACTAGAGACGTTTGAATTTTTACAATTTTCGAAAAAGAAGTATTTTCCAACTCATTACACGATAGAACATTTATTTTTGAACAAAACGAATTCAATACTGTCAAAGTAGAGGTTTTATACTTTCAATTGAGATCAACATAATTTTCCTTTACAAAGTGATCACTTTTATAAAGTTTGAATTATTGACAATTTTTCATCGGTCATTGACTTAGCTATTCTCTTTACTGTGTAATCTGCACATTTCTGTAAATTTGAATTTACTAAATCCTAACTCGGATATAAACTTTACGACAACATGCTGGCAAAATATTATAACATTAGATCAAAAATTCACGTACAATACTTCCTTTAGTAAATTTTCCAAAACTGATTTCTTAATCGACTGTACGTTATCGCTAACATCTCGAACAACCATTAACATATTTATCGAGACATTAGAACACGTAAAATTCACAGTTATAGCAAAACACTCGTCACGTATACGTTATATTCGCGTTTAGATCAGTTAACCTTCTGAGATCTGTTGCTTGCTCGCTAGAGATTAGCTGGGAATTACCAGTTCGACGAATCTCTATGATATTCGTGCTCGTAAACAGCTTCGGAGCTCGTTTTAATTAACAAGAGAGAATGATTGAAAATCGAGCATCGAAGACTGCACTGGAAAAAAATACGGAAAATTGACAAATCGGTTGGTATTCGTACCGATGCTGCAACATTTAGAGTAATTGACGAGACCGTTTGAACGAGTTGTTTGACGCAGAGAATGTCTACGAATATATTTTTTTATAAAAAATTTCATTGATATTTTAACGAAATAAGGAACGCTATGATTACATTACGTGCAGTAAAATCAAATAAAATGGAATATCTATGACAATGTTACGGAAAATTTATTATAAATCTGTATATTTAGTGAAAGATATTTAGAAATTTAAATTTAGGAGAAAATAAATGTTTGATTATACATATAATTGGTTTTATTATCTAAATGAGAAGTAAATTCTGAAGACCAGCATGGATGAAATTTCCACGAATGTCAGCTATCGATAATAAAAATCTGCATAAAGTGCACGAACTCGCTTCAGTGGAATTTGTTTATTAGTTTCCATAATTTATATGCAACAGTTGTTACCGACACACGTATCGCATTAACGCGAAATTTATTCTTTCCAGAAATAATGGAATAATTTCGAAATGTTCCGATTTACACAACTCCTTGCACGTTTCAAATAATAATTACGCTTTAATAAATATCGTCACGCTGTTTGAGAAAAGAACTGTTAAAACAAAGCACTGATCAACGACAAGTTTTAGTCGATAATTACGATAATTCTCAGCTTCATTTTCAACAAATTTTTAGTAAATCAGCTGTTCGATCGAGAAAAAATGTACGAATCCAACGCGAGCCTAATTCCACCATCAGTAACAATTTCTCGCCACGTTACTTTAATCTGATTTTTCCGTTTCCAAAGTGAACCGGGACTGAAACTCCCTCGTAACGTAAATTATTCCATTCACCATTTCTGGACGTTTCAAGTGCAGAGATCCCGAAAGCAACGTAAACTCAACACCTCGTCGACGAAATATTTCCTCTTTAATCTCTAAAGCGTTGTCCAAAGTGTGACTCGCGAAGCTGCCGTAAATACGAACGAATAAATTCCACCGGTTTATTATGACCAACGACAGTGATAATTGCAACCGAAAAAACGGTACCACGGTCGTTCACGGTCGCGGGTTTTGTCATCAGCGGAGGCAGGATCGTAATTTATCGGACATCCCTAGGAAAACGTGACTTGACGAAGACCTTGCTCCAGTTTAGACGGAAACGAAACGACGGAGTCTCTCGGCCCAGATACGTGGTAGCGAGAAACACAAGCTCCCTCCCCGTCTCTTCGTTCCTCCTTTCTTCTTTCTTTCTTTTTTTTTTTTTTTCTTTTTTCCTCCCCCCTTTTTTCTCTCTCCCCGTCGCCGCTCCTTCTATTTTCTTCCCGCGGTATTTCCACCCTTTTCAGCGTCGCTCGCCACGCACTTTGACGATCGCGCGGAGGCAACCGTTGCAAAGGCGAGAACGATGAAAGAAGCGCGCTCCAGGATCTTTAATATTCGCTAATTGCGCATTGTGATTATCGAACGAGCCGGCCGTTGAATTGTTGAGCATATACACGCGCGATAGCTAGCCGACAAGGGTTGGTCAGCGTAATTAACAGATTCCATCCGCGATGAAACGAGCATTTTCCATTTTAATTATCTCGCGATCCCTGTTCTAGCGAATTGAAATTTTGAAATTCGCCGCTTCATTGCTTTCGGAGATTTCCGTGCAATGATTATATATCAATTAGATGCAGAGAATTCTTTGGTTTATAGTTATAGTTTAACGATTGTAGGTAATGGAAAATTCGGGAAAGTTGTGTTATTGTCACATCGAAGATTATTCAATAATACACACAGTAAGAGATTGCAAATTGCAGATACAGAGATTTCTTTAAATTATTAAAATATAAGATTTCTTTCAGTTGTTAAAATATCAGATGAATGACTAGAGTTGTATTG